CCATTTCTAGCTTCTCACAGGGAAGATAGTACCATTTGGAGGTTCTGTAACTTTGAATGGTAGCTGCTTATAACGATCAAACTCGATCACAAAAAACTCATAACAGGTCCAAACCCCAAGTTCCAACATTAGAAAGAGCCAAAACATGTTAAATAGGACCAGCTCTACCAGGGTTTGCCAACCTGTGGCAAAGGTGCCAGAAGTGGTACAGGCAGCCTCTGTGTGTGTGGCATGCAGCAGGCTGGGGAGGGGACAGAGAGCACTGTGGCCAGCAGGGAGCAGAAAGCAGAGCAACAGATCAGGCAGGAAGCACAAGGCAGGAAGTCAAAAGCAGAGAAACAGGTTGGGCAGGGAGTAAAGGGCAGGGAGCAGAACGCTGAACTGTATATGGGATGAGGGAAAGGGATCAGAGTAATACCCTGTTGGCATATATGCCAAAAGGTTGCCCCCCACTAAGCTAGAGCATAACCCACATAATCCTTGCCTTTTCCTCTTAGTCTCCTTTTCTATTCTTACAACTCCCCTTGTTCCTGTCTGTCTTCCTATGCTTTCTTCCTCTATTCTCTTTGCCTCCTTCACCCATTTCTTTTTCTATGCTGGGAACAGCCTCATCACTGAGCCGAGCCAAGCCAAGCTCCAGCCTTCCCTGTTTTTTAACCTATAAGTCAACTTTTTTGCAGAGCATTCCAACTGACTTCATTCCCTCTGCTCCACACGTTTTCACATCACACCTGCTATGGCTTTGTCTCGTATGCTTGGTAGGGCAGGGATTCATTACATTTGTGCGTCCATTGTATGGTACTGTGGATACCATTTTATTCAAAATAATTAATAGCAGGCAAACCAAAACTGACTTTCTCCCTGGGCGTTGCATAAATTGTTGCCATCTTCCAAAATCTGTACTAATTTAGGAATATTAAATTAGAGGTTAACAATTCAGAACATATTTAATTTTGGTTCCAGTGTTATGAAAGAATCGTTGGGAAAGGAGGTCAGAGGGATCTGGACACATTAGCCTACAATATGCAGATGAGAAGCAAAGAAGAAAGGCTGGATAATAATTTTGTGCAGCAGAAAGCACTCTAATTCCCTGAAGTTAGAATGCAATGTGCTATTTAACAAATTTCTATAGCAGCTCCTCTAAAACCACAAATATGTTCCTGTCAAGAGTTTTGATAGAGTATGTTCTAAAGGGAGGGAGAGAGCAAGCCTGACTATTGTTCCATAAATAAAGATGCATAATATGAAATTTGATTTGATCACTTCTGCCCTTGTGTTGGCCATGCTCTTGTTGATAAAGTTTTTGCATACTTATGCACACAGCTCCACGTAGGACAATATTGTTTAAGTAACAAGGACTAAGTTAGTTGTCCTGATATCATCCAGATAAGGCCAGCTGGGCTAGTTAGTGCATATAGTGCTTTGCTAACAGCTGGTTCTTATCTGAAAAATAATGGGCTCTGATGGAGGTCCTTTCTCGTATTAAAAATCTTGGCTCGTTTTTATTAAAATAAAAAAAAAGAGAGAGAGAAAATGCAGCATGGAGCATTTTATGCGTAATTCGATTGTATTTGTTCTAAGGTAGTCAGAGTGCAGGGCTGATCCTAAAAGTGGAACTGTAGTGTCAAGCTTGTGCTACCACTACTAGCAGTCATTGCAGTAAAGTATATGGGAGCCAGTAGCAACGCTGCTCTTTTCATAGCCCTGCCTCCGTTGAAAGGAGAGAACTTCTAAGATTTTTGTTGATATCAGCTACCTGTTATCTATTAAACAAATTAACCTATGGAAGATAGTACTAATGCCAGCTTAGGAAGGAATGAACTTGTGTATGGGGAAGAACAGTGCTTTTATTTGCACTCTAATCTTGGTTTTTGCTATCCATTGCTTTGTCTTGCTAGCAGCATTTGCTCCAGCTTTGACGTTTTTTTACACAAACTTTCTTTAAATAAGGATAGGCACAAGATCTTTTTAAAAGCACTTTGTGTGCCCCCTCCAGTTTTTGTTAGTTTATAAAAGGCATTGTATCTTTTGTTAAATATTTGTGTAGTTAGCTGTTGATGTCTTTATTTAAATCTCTCTTTTGAGATGCTAATCAGAAACTAAAAAAGTCTTTCCCATGAAAGTGGTAAAATACATGGTCCCTGTTACAAAGCACAACCACCTAAACACAATGATTCTCTTGTTTAATCTTTTGTGTACTGCAGTTACCAGTTTACCTGGTGTGAATTTCTCTGCGTTTCTTTCAGATTCCGAGCTTTCATTTATTCTGTTTTGTAATAATCTAATGGGACTGTGAGACAAACTATTTTGATAGTTGTTGTCTGCAGAGATGAGCTGTTACTTCCAAAATGGTCTCATTATGTGGCTCAATAAAAAGCTGGACAGTTGTTACATAAACTCTGTAATATAATACTTTCTTTCTGGAAAAAATAAATAATTTTATTGTATTAATACACTAATCTATTTGGACCAATTTTCAGACTTTCTTTAAGGAAAGTGAAAAAAATTCATTTATCCTTAATACAGTTAGCGTGAAAGTTTAAATTCCTGAATAGTCTCATGGCTTTTTTTATAGCATTTCAAAATTTAACATTTTAATTCCTCCTTCAAATTTGCCTTTGATTTCTTCACATCAGAGGCTATGAATATTGTTTAATTTACTTTTTGGTAAAGCTGTCACTTGTAATCTGCAATTTAAAAAAACTAATAAAACAAATCCTCATTTCACAATTTAAACCTTATTGAGTCTAATTCACTTGCACTCCAAGTTTATTATTCTCTTGCAGCTTGACGTGTCTCCAATTGTAATTGTGTTGACCCTTCGATGCAGTAAATCTCCGCAGTGCTTATCAAACTGGGAAAGATAAGTCTACAATTCGGAAATTCATTAAATATCTCATTTATATTAAAGAGATGATAGCTTCGAACAGAAATAATAATTTTTACAGACTTGGTGACCCCTGATTGTGGTCTCATCTACTTTGGAATGCAGTGCTTTACAAATCCCCACCCCCTCTGTGTACCTGGCATTAAGCCAGCGACCAAATGTCATAAGATGTTAGTCCATTGGGTTGACTTCAAAGCCTCTCTTGTGAAGATTGTAGTTAAGAGTGCTCTGTAGCCCTCGAAGCACATTTTTTTAAAGACTTTAATAGCGTAAATTTCTTTGTCATGCTGGAATCATGGATAGTATACATGGCTGTTTTAAAAAAAATATTGCCTATTTTTGTGTTTCATGGAAGGGCAAACTGTTCTTTTGCTATTTAAAGAACAATCCTAAGAAGTGATAAGCACTCAATTTCCAGTTGACTTCAAAGAGATCTCCATGTTCTCAGTACCTTGCAGATTCTGCCCTTCAGCGTCTTTCACAAGATTTTTACGCACACATACAAGCACACGTTGTAGGATTCATATCAAGATATTGTTCATGAATTCTAACATGTTTATAAATGTTAGATGGCAAAAAAGAGCCTGTAATTCCTTGTTCTATATCAATTCAACAGTTTTGGGTTTTTTTTTCCTTTGGAGTTCTGGATTCAAGTTACCAAAAAAAGAAAAGAAAAAAAAAGTAAGTGAACTGAACATAGTCTCATTCAGGCCTATCATAGGCATTTTGTGCATAACAATCATTATCATTCAGTAGCAGTTGGGGTGCTGAAGTCTGTGGTTCAGGCATATCAACAACGCTTTGTAAGCAGAAGGATTAGAGATTCGGGAAATGGATAATTGAATGTGAAGTCTTTCATAACGCGAGTGACTTGCAGCTAGTTATTGGCCTACGTAAAATAAGTTGGGCGTCTCAGTCAGACCTCCACTGGACAGGAATTCGCATCGTTCATGGATCATTGTTGTCAGTCTCATCATAGCTACTTGTTGTTAAAGGGAAATAAATATAAGATAAACAGCATCTTACCTCTACTGATGTCAAATTATTAGTTTTTCTTTTCCCCTTTAAGGTTTCTGCTTTCCATAAACTCTGATTCTCCAGAATCCAGTGAATAAAACCTATTTTTGAAAATCCTTTTTTAAAAATTCAGCCTGCTTCTAAAAGAGCAGGAAAAACATAGGGTCAGGCATTGGGTCAGTAGAGGACACTTCTGATGGAGGGCAGCTTGGAGCAAATGAGAGAGAAATAACAAAATCCCATGGCCAAACAGTATTGCTTCATCTCCTTCCCACCACCAAGTAGATTGGGCCCTTTGTGCATGAAGGAATTCTGGCTTAAGGACTCTGGCTGGGCAGCAGTCCTTGGCTTGTCTTGTCTTCGGGGCCTGCAGGGTTTTGGAAATGCTGATTTTTCTTGTGAAACTGACAGGGAGGCTACATCAGGCCCTGGAAACAGGGACATTCCCAGATTTAGTGAGCATGTGAAATCTTTTTACCCTAAGGGGAGGAAGACTGAGCAAAGAGTTCAGCATAAGCAACAGAAAAACAATTCCAAATTAATACCAAGCCTGATTTGTATCACAGCTACCAAATCACTGAGCATTCATGTGTGTCAGTACTAATGTGAATTGCTGGGAGTTTCATAGGAGGATCCCTTGATGACTACATGTGAAAGCAAATTGCACTTTTCAAAAAGGGTCAGTAGCCTGATTCCAAATGAAGTCCCTATTCCTTGTTGTTGTGAAAGGGTTTTTTTTCAGATACCCTGTCAGTGGGTGAGAGATGGTCGAACAGTCTGTCAGAAAATATTGAAACCAACAAAACCACCCATTAAAAAAAAAAAGGGGAACAAAGAGATCATAATTTGACACTTTTTCTCTACCTATTTTCTGCTGAAGGGGTTGAAATCTGACAAGGCACCCTGGGAGGTGCAGCGGAAAGTGACATAGAAAGTTGGTCATTAAGCAGAGCTGTCATTGCAAATTATTTTTGTCCAGGGTGAAAAGTTCTAACTCATTTGGTGCCCAGCCGGGTCCAGGCCCCAGGCAAGTTGTTATACTTCCCCCATGCTGTTAAATGGAGCTTCAACACTGATTTTTCTTCTCTCTATGCAGTTGGAGTCACCTGGGAGCCCCCCAGGGCCAGAGCTGCCTGTAGAGACTATACTGGATGACAGGGAACGCAGGATTTCCCATTCGCTCTACAGTGGGATCGAGGGGCTCAGTGAATCACCCACAAGGAATGCTGCACTAAGTAGGATAATGGGTGAGTAGTATAGGCTCTGCTAATCATCTCTGGTTTTTGTCCTTTCTCTGGTTCCCTGAGGGATGATGAAGGTATTATTTATGTGGGAAGCTGGTAACGTGAAAGGTGTGTAGTGACCAGTTTAAAGCCTACCTTTAAAAAAAAAAAAAAAAAAGTTTCACGTACACCTTCTAGACAGCTTGATGTGAGAGGGTAAGTCAACAAATTAACGTATAAAATGCGCTTCAGAGCCCATAACAGGCAATAGAAAAAATAACAGGCATATTCAGACTATTTCAGTGGGATGCTATGTTGTATGTTTGGTCTTTGTGGACAGACTTCATACAAATGAAGTCACTGACTGCTGATATAAACAATTTATTGTTATATTTCAGTGCTCATTCACCTCCGCTTTAACCCCTCTTAAAAACAAAACCAAAATAAAATAATGTAATCTCAAACCCATTTATGCTTAATAGGGTATTTGCTTATTTCAGATGAATTTCTGCTTTGCAAGGCACCAGTTTTAAAACCTGATAAGTAATTTTATGCATCCTTTGTTTGGATTCCATGCCATACTGTCTGCATGGCCCCCAGTGGGTAATGAGGTTATTAGCAGTTGCTCTGCAGCAGTTCAGCTTTATACTAACAGATCTAGTTAATAAAGACTTGTCTTGCCACAGGAGTGGTTGGATTTACTGAGCAGCATGGGATTAGCTTGTAAGGATTTTCAAGTTTAAAACACAAAAAGCTGATTAAAATGGCACCTGACATAAAATATTTCTGCTGCTACTTGCGGTGCAAATCTGAAACTTAAAATGTAGCCATTAAATCCACTACCTCTTAGTACACCTTATACATTTCTACTGCATTGCAATTGGAGGGCTTGTTAAAAAGTTGACATGAAATAAGAGTGAATTTAGCTTTCAGTCCCTTAGGATGGGTATTCAGCTTTAGAAAGCGGAAATCCTCCTTTTGGGGCTTTTTGTTGGTTATCACTTTCTAAGCACATTTTCTGTATACTTTTTGAAGTAGCAAAATGGTACTTTATGAGAAGATTACAAAACGCTATGTTTTATTTTGTATGATTTTTGTCAGTTATGCTTTACTGTTGCCTGAACATACACAGCAAAGCCAAACCTTAAAAGAAAACCGGAAAGATCTGTTCTGTTCTATTACATTATAGATTTATGCTAGCTGAACGAGGAGGAGAATGGATCCAGTTGTCACTAATCCATGAACTTTCATCCCAGAAAATTCATGTCCATCTAAAGAAATCTAATTTTTTTTGAGATTTACTGAAAAGCTTAAGGAATTAAGAATAAATCTAGCTGAAATCTTTAGTGCTGTTGTTTCAAAGAAAATAGTTAATTTTCTTATGGTTTTAGGTTTTTAGATAAAATATTTGCACAGCACTAGCTATGCTTTTTTCCATCAGCATGCAGAGGATTTACATGTAAAATCTGTATGAGCATTAAAGAGTTATCATGTAAACACCTTGTCTAGCAATGGGAGAACAGACCTCAAGAGAGTTTGTATCCATGCATGTCAGGTGAGGCAGTGCAGTTTCATATCAAAGGAATATCAGATTTGCCATGCCAAAGCAAACTAGTGGTTTATCAAGTCTGGTATCTTTCCTTCAGCAGCAGCCAGTAACTGATGTTTCAACAGAAGGCAGAAAAACTTTTCCAATATGTGTATAGGGGTAAAAATCCATTTCAACTCTTGCCAATGTGCATCTTATGCTTTTAAGCATAAGATATGGTTTTCTCTTTTTCAGCTGTACTCCAAAGGTATGCTCAAGAGAATTGGAACCATGCATAAACTGCTTAAAATTGGTTCCATCATAAATCTCTTATGTGTTTTTGGTGACCAGTATAACAAAGTTAAAACCAAAAGGGTGATTTGGATTATCTTGATTAGAAACTGGTTTTGTTGGAACTGAGGTTGGCTCTGATGGCATAAATCAGCATCACTCCACCATATTTAAACGTTCATTTGAAGGCTGCTGTTCCATTATTTTAACCTTAACAATTCTGAATACCTCATGTGAGCCCCATCTAACCAATCGTTTTTCTTTGCTAAACTAAAACTCTAGTTTTTAAGTGTTCTATATTTATATGTACATAACAGCATAGCACAAAGGTGCTTGGATTATCTGTTGCCACAGAAGTAGTGAGCACACAGCCATTTGTTTGGGTAGGGGCAGAAGATGACCACATTAACTGTACCTGTAATAAGCACATGCATGAACATTATCTGGCACACTTAACATCCTATTAGCATTTAAAACAGGACAATTCCCTAGAATTCTCACTTGCCTTGATACAGCAGTGGAAGCGCTTCACTCCTGTCTATTGTCTCAAGAATATTCTCTCTCTTTAGGGCTCTCTTGCAAAACTGCTGCTCACCTTGACTTCTTACTACTCCATCCTACTCAATAATGGCTTTCTGAATGAAGTGAAATTATAAATATTCTTAGCAGAGTGTGCTGCTGCTTGCACAGAGTCACAACAAAGCTAACAGAAGCATAACATTTCTTCTTTCTAAAATTTAATATCATGAAATTGGAAAGGGTATTTAAACCTCCTGTGCTCATTTTTCTTCCAGTAGACACTGACAGAAAGAATCAACTTGTCCAAAACTTGCCAAGACTTAATAAGATGTATCCTCTTGGGAGTAAGAGTTGGAATTAAGATGACAATTTTAAAATATTCTTTTTAACAATACATAGACCACTTTGATCATCTGAACCAGGTTTCGTGGGACTGCTAACATTCCTGGTTTAGTTTTGTTTGTTGACTACTTTTCTATATGGTCCTTCTGGCTTATAGGTTTTATTATCCCTTTCATTATCCATATATAGATGTAGATATATGGAGAGAGGGAGAAATGCTTAATTTTTTTTACCCTGGGAAAGGAGTTTTGAAATGTGAGCAGATTATTTCTATTGCATTTTTTAAGAGAATGGTAACTTTAACGCTCTACCTTCATTACCTTGAACTGACCCCCAGTTATCTTTCCTGCTTGGTGCAGGAGGCTGGACCTGATGATCTTCTGAGGTCTGTTCCGGCCTTACAATCTATGAATCTATTATAAGAAATATCTGTAGCTAGTGTGTTTTCAGCCTATCCAAAATTAATTTTAAAATACAAGTGTTTAACAATGCCCTAACTTGCTTGTCACTGTGATTAAAAATGGAAGACTTTTTCTGTTGTACTACAACTATTTATTTTCTATTATGCAGCTGATTTCCACAAATGTAAAGTTGCTTTCTGTGTATCTTCTTGTTATTGTGCAAACAGCTTAGTACAGTCATGGCACAAGTCTTACTTTTATTTGTAGTTTAATGACATGCTGCTTGCTTATGAATGTGGCAGATTTTTTTTTGGCTAAAGTTGACTAAGTAGAACTTTATTTATCAAGAATGTGAACAGAATAACAATGACATTAATATATTATTTTGTTGGGATGGACTACAGTAGCAATACTACCACTACAAAAAAAAAAAAAAAAAAAGAAAATAGGCAAAATCTAATTTTCCCAGAAAAGAATTTAACTGGGACATGGTCAGTCACAAGTATACATCCTTACCAAAAAATAAATAAATTCCTGGGCTTTGTAAAGACCACTTGTAGCCAGGACCTGTTTATATGCCATCTAAAAATGTCTTTTAGTTCAACATACCAACGTTGTTTATCAATTTAAGCAATGAGAAGGTGTTGCCTTGCTAAATGACCAACACTTTTTCTACAACACCTTGTTTTCCTAAGAAATTTCCCATTTGTGTACTCACCATCCCAGTTCTGTTCTGTTTAGCTTGAGACCTGATAACCTGAAGTAATATGGTTGCAGATCACTTTTAAGTAAAGAAGACACTTTTACTTCAAAATCTAACTCTTCATGCAAACAAGGAGGAAAATGAAACAGGAGATGTTCTTTTCTCTCTTATTATATTGTTCTGCAGATTCTGTAGAATTATTTACACTTCATTACAGGCCACTAATATTTGCGTCATGCAGCATTTAGGAATTAACAATATGAAAACTCTTTTCTGCCTAATCATCTTCATTTTTTTTCATTTTGTTGGCTTCAATACTCATGGAAACTAACTTTCACCCTGGGATTAGTATTAGGTTTCTTCCTGATTAATTAAAAAAATGTGTGTCCTAAAGTTACATTTTGAGCTTACAAAGTTATGGGATTTCTTTATATAGTTAATACATACACAAACGGGTTGTTAGGATTCATTTGCTAAGTCATGGCAAAATAGGGGACATACATTTCTTCACAGAGGGAGATTTAAAGGCTCCTTGTGTTCAATTTTCACAGTGCCAAAATGTCTGTTTGGGTCTAATCCTAAAAAATGCTTGGATTCAAACAACCTTCATCTGGGAGCGGTGCAGCTAAGACATAAAAGTCTATCTACTTAGAAATTCCTTTGAAGAGAAAGCACCAACAGCATATGAATGAGGTCAGATTCAGTAACATGAATTGGTCCTCCAAGTCCAGTATTGTATATGAAAAAGGTTATTTCTAATAGTCTAGCAGAAAGCATCATTCTAGCTTGATGGGTTCCAAGAATGATAAGGTCTCCTTGGATATGAAGTACTTTTGGTTGTGCTGTTGTATCTGCTTTTTCTATAATACTTTGTTTCTGAGGAGCTTTCTTTACACAGCTCCTTCACTCCAAGCCTGGATTATTCTCTACTGGGGTCTGGAGGTATAGTTATAGCAAAGCTTCCTTCAGTGTTTTTGGCTGTTCAGATCTGAGAATTTCCATAGATCTGCTAGGAAGATAAAAAAAATTCATAGCTTGAGGGGCTTGTACAGTCAAGCTCTCTGGTAACAAAAGTTGCTGTTCCCTTTGTTTGTTTCCTTGGATAAACATATGTGGCCTTTTTTGGTTATCTTGTTTATGAAATAACACTGGGGGGTATCTCATCATAAAGACATACAGGTATATGTAATTGTTGGTGTCTGGTTTGTAAAAGTCCAGTTGTATGAAGAATAAGAGTAAGATGTTCTCTCTTCTTTCTGCCATCTAAAACATTTCAGAGCTTGAGGTAAATGTAAGCAAGTTGTTCTTGGATCCTTGTCAGTTGTAAAACAGGGGTGGGCAATTATTTCTGCTGGAGGGCTGCTTAATGAGTATTGGTGAGGTGTCAAGGGCTGCAAGGGTCGCCCTGCCCTTGGAGAGGTGCCACACCCCCATTTTGTGACCAGAAGTCCTGCCCCCAACCCCTGACCTTTGTCCCTGGAAATCTCTCCCCTTGCCCAGGAAGTACTTCTTTTGGGGGGAGGGGAGGTTTGCTTGTATATTGTGTGTGAAGGAGTTGGGGGGGGTGATGGGGGGAGTATGTGGTTGGGGGTACGTGGGTATGGTATTGGGTGTGGGGGTGTAGCAGGGGTGTGTGTGCTTGTTGCTTTAGGATGTGTGACTTGTGGTTGAGGTGTGGGGTGTGTGGGACTGCTGGGGGGGTGTGTGGGTATGGTGCAGGTGCAGGGTGTGTGAGGCATATATGGGGGGTGTGGGATGTGTGTGGGTATGATGGGGTGGGGTGTGTGAGGGGTTGTGGATGCATGTATGGGGAGGTGTGGGTGTATGTGTGTTGGGGTGTGGGATGTGCGTGTGGCTGAGGTGTTGGATGTGTGTGGGGAACTGACTAGGTGGGGGTCAGGGTGTGTGAGTGGGATGTGTATGGTCGGATGTGTGGTTGGGATGTGAGGTGTGTGGGACAGTGTTGGGTGTGTGTGTGGGTGCGGTGGGGGGTTGAGGTGTGTTGAGGGGGTGTGGGGGCATGTGGGGTGCGGGTGGGTTGGCTTTCCCTCCTGTGCACTCTTTGTGACGTGGCTCAGCCCAGCCCTTCCATGGGCAGGGGGAGGGGATGGGGAATCAGCGCTGCCTGCCTGGCTTACAGCGTGCTGCAAAGGGCAGGAAAGCAGCTGCCACCGGCCGACAGTGACAGAAGCCCCTGCCAGAGGGGAAGGGGGACAGGGAGCCAAGCCTGGCACTGCCAGCTCTCTTGGTCTCTGTCCCACACCTGGCCAGCAGGGCTGCTATTGTTGCTGCTTTGCTCTCATGTGCCTGCCTGGCAGGGCTGCACTAAGTGCACGCTGGTTCCTGCTGGTGCTTCCCACTTCCTGCCTGTCCCATGCCTGCCCTGCTGGGCTTTGTGAGCAACCAAACTCCTTCACGCCTCCCAACCCTCATCTACACTTTCCTCCACTGAGCGTGAGCAGGACTAGAGTGAGTACAGGCAGAGCCCGCTCTGCTCCCATCAACACTGCAGCTTCTCCTCCCTACCTGCTGCCCAAAGCACTACAGCAGGGACAGGAGGAGTCACTAGAGGGATGGAAGAGCCCAGAAGCTGTGCCTGCTAGTGGTGGGGCTGGTGCCCTCCGACAGAGGAGGCTGGGAGCGCAGAGCGCAGCAGGGGCAGCTGATGGCAGGGCTGGGTATAGTTAATTGGTAAACACCTGCAGGCCATATTTTCCCACCCCTGTTCTAAAATGTCAGGGGCTTTGCTGAACTCGGAGAACATTAGGTTGTCTTACCATACCGAGGTTTGTTTATCTCTAGCAACATCATAAGCTAGTAGCTGAACTGAGTTATACTAGTGCTATGTTTGAGGGATTTTTAACATCTCCTGAAAGGCTGTGGATTTGTCTTCTCCAAGAGTGATTCCTGCTTACAAACCATGTTCAGGCTGTCTACAGAGGAGATACTGACTCTGTTGGTGAGGTGTGTCTAACAGTGCCATTTCTTCCCTTCTTTTCATCTGCAGTCAAAAACAAGGATGCTTCTAGTGTACTTTCTTTTTAATTTCAAACCAACTCTTAATATACCACTTGTCAAATATAAAGAAGGATGAAGAAAAGTTAAAAGTTACATCATTGATACAGACTCTCAAATTGGAAGTTCAGCCTCTGGAACGCTATCCTTTTGCAGTCAATGCTTTGGAGATATTAACCACGGAGTTAACAAGCATTTTGTTTAGGAAGTTGTACATTATCAGATTATACCTTAACCTGTCCACCAAACAAACTTGCTAGTCAAAGAATTAGTTGCTTTGCGAAATGAATCCATTCATTACAGCTTGACAGTGATAGGTTGAAAATCTCATTTGAAGACAACAGTTTTTAAGATAACTGTATAAATTGTATTTGATTAGCCAATAGGATGATGAATTTTAGATGCTTGGTAACATAACTAAGATATGGTAAATTAACTGACTTTGACAGAGGTGTGTACCACGCAGTTCTTAAGATGTATAATGATTATACTGATTCTTTTGCTGCTGTTAGTGTCCTTTGTATAGTGATATATTTGAAATATTTTAGTCTATGCCAGAGGAACAACTAAACTTTTTAGAAGATTAAATTTTAGCAAGCAATAAGAGGCTGAATTACAGAGAAGCTTACATGAACTGAAAATTTTGAATAATATGGAGAGGTATAACACGTTATTGCTCACTAGTTGCCTTGGGTAACTAACATAACCTCATTGTCATATTTGCAGAAGTGTTAGTATTCATTAGAACAAGTATAAATAAATGTAGCTTAGCAATATTGATGGTACAAAGGTAACCATAGGTGTATAAAACCAAACTGACAAATTTTTAAGACTGATCATGTTATGTAGAATCATCACTTTTACTGTCTTCCAAGTGTCATTGTTCTTCATAACCTCCAACACATTAGCATTAAAAAAACAGGAAATGGGGACTCAGTTTAAAATGATGGTGATATTACTAAGCACTGCAATAAAAAAATCCTTTGTGACACATGATTGTAACTGTTTAGTCTGTTCTGGTGAGACAGAAGTTTTATATAGATTTAAGTTACATCTGTGTTTTATTAAGCAGCTTGGAAACTCCAATAGGCCATGGAATAGATTAACTACACAGTAAAATTCCATACATGTGTAAAATAACTGAATTATGGTTTATGATAAATAATTATCTGTATGCAAATTAACTTTATTTGGGAAAAAGCAATGTTTCCACTAATTTGTAAAAGTGCCCAGTCCTCAGTCTCTTCTCCATGTTACTTGCCCCATTAAAACTCAGATGAGAGGCAGCATCACCCACTTATTTTGTATTTTCAAATATAAAGGTCCTGTGTCAATTCCTTTAACATCAGTATCACAAATAGTTTGGATTTTGGTGGGGACAGTATTAGGATCTTAAATCAAATTTTCCTGATTTTGGATACTTAAACATAGGTATTTAAATCTGCATTTGGAATCTAAACAGATTACTGTTTTGGGACTTATTTTGCTGTTGTTTAAAAAATTCTAGTGTACAAGGTTCCTAGTCACCTGTAGCCATGGGTGCTTTGGAAAAGGAGTTAAGTTCCTATTGTGAATCAACCAAGTTAAGGTTAAGGTTTGTTCATGAGAGATGATGATCCTCAGTTTTCATTTGACCCTATTTCTGCATGCCTACTGAGGTCTTAAAATACTCAGTAGAATTAGAATCTGAGCCAGTTAATACTCTTCAGCAAGTAGGATACATGTACCGTATTTACCCAAATCCAAGATGACTTTGAATTTAAGACAATCCTCCAATGATTAGACTGTAGACATAGAACATTTATAAATCTGTTACAAGTTTCCATGTATAGAATCTTAACTATTGAGGGTTGTTTTTGGTCCCCTCACTGCTGCAGCAGGACAGGCAGGGGAAGGGGGAAGGTAGGACAGACAGTGTGGGGAGTCAAGTAGACTCTCCCTTGCCACCTGCTACCTGTTTCTTCCTATCACCTGCCCCCCTGCCACTTGTCCCCCTAGCCCCTATTCCCCCATGCCTGCACCCCAACTCCTGCCTGCCCTGTGGCACCAGGACCACCTGAAACATATGGTCACTCTGGCCCCAGTCAAGCCACGCAATGGCTGCAGCGGTCTGGAGCCAGAGAATAAGGGTATGGGAGGAGGGATAGTTAGTGGATGTGGCTCTAAACCTAAGCCTGGGTAGGCAACAGAGTTGGAGCCACCGCAGCCAAGCCCCGTCCCCTTCTCTCCCCTCAAATCCAAGATGAGAAGTTTTTTCTCCCATATTAAAGGAGGGGAATAAACCTTGTCTTGGATTTGAGTAAATACAGTACTTCCAATTCATATTGTCTTCAGAATTCTTCATAGTAAGACACGTACAAAATCAGCTAGACAGTTAATTTTATTATCTATGTTATGTCAGTTTTATCAGCAACATGACAGTTTGATGCGACATTTTATCAATTGTGATAAAACTTCATATTCAGGACTCTATCTACAGTTTATTTTTTCCCCTTCTATTGTACAGGTAAATACCAGCTGTCTCCAACGGTGAATATGCCCCAAGATGACATGGTTATTATTGAAGATGATAGATTGCCAGTACTTCCACCACATCTTTCTGACCAGTCGTCATCTAGTTCTCATGATGATGTGGGTTTTGGAACAGTGGATGCTGGTGCATGGACTAAAGGCACAATTAATGAGTCCACAGACTGGTAAGATCAACCATAGAGCAAAAGTACAGTAGTTCATGGTGATCATACCTTTTTCTTTAATATTAGCTACAGTGAATATCAATCTTCATTTTTAGTTGGTGTTCAGGCCCAGCATTTTCACATATTTAATTGCTGCTATTTCAATAAGAAAATTGGCACAGGTAATTTTGATGGAGGTTTATTTTCTGATTTTACGTTTTTATGCAGTCTCAAAACTCATTTAGATAAATGCGACTGATTTGTTATTAAGGTCAGAGTCAGTATATCGCACTGCTAATTTGATTACTTAATATTAATCAGTTACCAACTGAGTTAGCTTTGGGTTTAATCAGAACAATCTGAACATTTATAGGACGGCATTGGTTAAATTTAAAAGCTTAAGGTTATGAAAAATTAAGGCAAAGCCCAATGGGAAAAGTTCATTTATAATTCTCTCTGTAAATAGAATCTATCTTCATAATCCATATAACCATAGTCTATATGACATTCTAAGTGTCCATCTATATTTAAAGTCTTACAGCACATCACCATTAGCCTTTTATGACATCGTACATAAGAAACAATGTAACTTTAAAATATTATTTTTGGAAATGGGAGTTCTTAATTTAGGCCTGCTATATGTTCATGCTCACATAATGTGACTAGTTAAGAATTCCTTATTATTTAGGACAAATGAGATTCATTATGTGCGGTATTCTGATTGATAAACAGAGTATTGGTTCCATGTTTTTAAAACACGGAAACCAAATTTTCTCACATTTTAATCTTCCAATAAAAGTAATTTCTATTAATATTGGATTAAATCTGTGATCTGAGTACGTACATGGAAATTTTTATAAATGAATCACAATGACTAACGCAATTGATTCTATTACTGGCTTGTTTGTTGTCCCTTATAAAAGAAATACCACATATTGCTTAGCTAGTTCTGTTAGTGTGGGTCTGTGAGAACTGTGCATTAATTTGCAAGTCTTGTAATTATAAACAGCAATAGGCAAATTATGAGACTTCTCTCTGGTACTACTTCCTAATGTTGCAGTGATAATTAATGCAAAAGGAGTGACGTATTAGCATGTTCTTATTTCTCCCATCCCCTGGGTGCATTATAAATGTGTCAGCAATATCTTAATAAAACAGATTCTGATTTGCATGTCAGCTGCTTCTTTTTTTTTATATGAAGTGTATTTGGATTGCTGTCCTGGGATGGCTTTTGCTATTTCTGTGCACTCTTTGAATTATTATATTAAAAAGTAACTTTTTTGCCTTTTATTTTGTTTTTCTGTTAATGTTGAGCCTGTTCTCAGAAAGTCTCACCTGTGATTTGGGTCCTTGAAAAGTCCATCTGTGTCTTTTGTAAAAGCTTTTAGAGCTGAAAATCTGAGGTTTTTCAAAATAGAATGCCACTCAAGACTGCACGTAATGGGTTATCTCTGAGTGAATTTTTCAGCTGAACATGGGGGGAAAACCTACAGCATAAAGTAAAAGCCATTTTTGAATCTGCACATTCACGGTTGCAGTGTAACTTACTTTTGTTTCCAGAAAAGTGTATGAATAGTAACAATAAAGAATTAGGGATTAAATATTCTGAGATTCATTTTGTGCAAAAACCTTGACATTTCTATTTTTATGAGAAATTGTTAGGGTCTTTAGATACAGTTGCTGTTAAAAGAGCAGATCAGTTTAGTGCCTCACTCATCTATAATGCATTGTTTGTAAATAAATAAATAAATAAACAAGCAAATAACGAACTAAATAAGTAAATAGCAGTAGAAGTAGATTGTTGCATTAATTTCCTGCTGCTAATGGATGAAGGAAGACTTGTAAAATGAAGGTGCATTGTATGATTTTGCTGGAAGGCACAAAGGGTAAAGCTAAGAATATGGATGAAGGGTTATCCAAACAAGAATGGCAGCTGTTCTGAATCACAGCAGAAAACGTAAGCTTTTCCAGCCTGACAATATCTCTCTAATCCTTGATGAAAATGTTATGAAAACAAAGGGGCAATAAGACAGGATTAATAAGTGGAATTTTAATAACATTGAGGGTCAGAAGACGGTTACATTCTTTTAAGAATCAGCTGTCATTCCAGAAATCTTATTTGTTAAGTATGCTAGAATATGGTAAATTGTCTTTGGCATTGCTTTAATGAGTTGCATTAATATAAGACAGAAGGTGACTTTAACATCTCTGAGAAATATTAAAATTAGCTATTTTCTGGATGTTAGTTTCTCTGCTATGCTTGTTGACTTTTCAACTTACGGATCTTTACCATATGGATGTTCATTTGAGTATTATTTGGCAAACATATGTGTTTAAATTACTGTGATTTTGGTATTTGTTAATTACTAGGATATATTTTTGCCTCATTAATATATTTTTTTACAATGAAGGCAGGACATTAAAACTTGTGGAATACCATGACATTCTAATATCTCCAGTGAAGGAGAGCTTGTAAAAGAGAAAACTGTATTGCTTTGAGATCTGAATGAAAGTTTAATCTTCAGGGGGGTTTTGCAGGCATTAAATAATTAGTCCTTATAAGGACCTCTCAGAGCATGATAACTGCAGATGAGGAAGCTGAAAAGCAACTGAGAGATGACATGATTTGCCCAAGGATTTAGAATGGGTGTTAGAAGAACTGGAATTAGAGCTCAGGAAATCCTGGTTCCTGGTCCCAGTTTGGACCTTGTCTTTCTTTTTATAATCCTTCTGATGCATTTGAAGTTTTATTTTACCATCAAGGTTTAGTATATTGATAAGACTTTAAATGAATATCTATAACCAGTGTTGAATTTACATGAAAATAATATTAATCTTTGTAAGGAACATTACAACCCTGGTTGAAATGAGCAGTGATATGAGGAAGATCACACCAGCAAAGGAACAGGCAGCCAAGACAAACAGTATTAGAAATTCATTCCTTGGAAAGAAAGAACCACATAATCCATTCTGTTCAACAAGATAAAGCTGGTCATCTCTAACTTGTGCAAGCTGCATTAACAAATGTTGGTAGAGGAATTTCTCATTTAACAGCAACAATTTTCTTCCTTAATACCAACAAATCACTGTAGTCTTCAGAGGCAACAGGGCTTAGTTGCAAGCCAGAAAATCTTGTGTAGCCTTTGGAAAGTCATTTATGATCTGATTATGAGAGATGAAGAACCTTGTAAGTTCATTTGAAGTAATTTAGGACACATTTTCAAACTGATGTGAACCATAGTCATCTCAGAATTCCAGTACTGAAGATACCAAAAATATGGTTGTGTCTGTTTTTCCTTTCTGTACCATGGGGGTTAAGTAAATTTAGTCACATGGGCTAAGGACAGACAGTCAAAAAGCCTGAGCCTGAATTGATTTAATCTTTGCAGGCTAGTCTAACTTGCCTAGATTGAATCAGTTTGCAACTGTACAGACATTCCCTCTGGACTGAAGAAATGCAGACACATGCCTGTAGTGGCTCAGGCTAGAAGCCAGGGGGCACTAGAGCAGCCCTCCCTTCTCCATAGTGCTGAGCTGAGTGCGGGGCAGGGTGTGGCAGGCTCCAATTAGGGAGGAGTTTAAACCCCTACCCTGGCCTGCACAGTCCCAGGCTTTTTCCTGCTCACTGCTCAAGTGTTGCTACCCCCAGATCCCAGCTAGCACTATGAGGCAAAGGGTGTGTGTGCAGTGCATGCATCTGTTGATGATACTGAGCTTTTCAATCGCCCTCTCCCTGCTTCTTCATGCTGCCTGCAACCCTGACAGGCAAGGGAGCCAGCAGGGAGCTGATAACATAGCGTTTATCAGCCCATCAACAAAGCAAAAGCCTCTCAGTTCAAGCTCTTAAACAGCTTTTTTTCAAGGAAGGAATGGAGGGACATACCAGCTGCCCTGTTGATTAGCTTCAAAAAGCCCTAAATGGACACTGTTCTGTCTGCTTGTCCCAGTGAAATTGGAGACATGCACACACAGGCCTTTGCACCTCTCAGCATTAACTTGCATACCACATGCTGGCAAGGGTCTGTTAGGCTGGGGTCTGTGCTGTGGGAGATGGGAGGAAGGGAGAGGGAGATCTTTGCTTCAGCAATGAGTGCCAAAGGGGGCGGGCAGGGAGAAGACCCTGCTGTGCCTGCATTCTCTGCCGGAGCTCAGGCTAGGGAGTGGAGGGGCGGGGCCAGTCCTGTTCCCTGAAGCAGACATCTGGGATGCTGGGGGACTGGTTAACTTAAACCAGGAAGGGATCTGGGACAGCTATTGCATAAACCGGTTTGTCCCAAATCAGTTAAGTCTGGTACTACATTCAACCAGGTTTATCTTAAACCAGTTTTAGCCATTTTGAAACTGGTTTATGTGCAGTGAACTTATGTTCTGTTACAGGTTTAAACCAGTTTTTGATCACTTAAACCAGTTTATGTGTAATATCTGTTCCTAGCCATGATAGTATTATAAGGATTAAATAGTTATGTTTTGTAACAATTTAAAATCAGTAAAAGCTTTCAGCATGTGCTGAACCTGGGGCCTTGGGTAGCACTGATATAGGTATTCTAGAAATTGTTGCAATAATTAAACCTAAGGACTATGGGCCTGAACCACAATCTTTGTTGTCAAGAAGTAGGTTCAAGGCCTCTGTTAAGTTAAAATATTACATGGTTATCACATGCATATATATATATACCTTTTCATTCTTAAACACATCTCAAAACCTATTTGTGTGCTACAAAATAAACCAGTGCATACCTACAGGGTACAAATCTTTAGAATGAAGTTTTCAAAGCTGTTGAATTTGGATTCTGAAATCCAATTAAAATTAACAGGCATTTGCCATCTAAATCATGCTAGTGGCTTTAAAAGATCTGCCTTCCTCCTCTTAATGTTTTTGTGTACAATACCCAGGTGGTATTTTGACAACAGGTGATTTTCTAGATTAGAGTGTATGTCAAAGCATTCAAACTTTTGTTATTGCAAAATTAAAAATACAAGTGGGCTATTTGCTTGTTTCCCATTGAGCAAAATACGTGTATTATTCTCTACCCTAAAATGGTGAGTACATTACAAAAAAACAGTAAAAGTGATGCATATCAACTTGCCAGAGAGAAATGACTGTTATAGATTGTGAACCACATTTTGGATGTTTTCACTTGTTTTTGGGATGCATCCAAGTATGTTACACTTAGGCTTTGACTTCAAAATTTTGAACATTTGGTATCCACTAATGGAAATAGATGCATCAGATGAGATTTAATTTCTGCTCAAAATTGTATAAATGGTTAATTGTCCATTAAAAAATATCACCCTCAAAAATCCTTGCCTCGCTAATTAATGTGATTGTTGTTGTTGTGAAATTTGGGGCAATAATTTCTTTCTCTTATTTTTTTTGCTTGGGGGGGGGGGAGGGCATTGTAGAGAATGTTCCATCCTTGGATAGTTTTGCATGTTCTACTTTTTGTCGGTGGATGTCAGAGATTGGATCTAAATCCTTAAGTCCTTATCTGGGCTTTCGTTTACCAGGCTATTGTGGGATATATTCTAATGTGCAAAACTGGGAGTTTCTGGGGACTTCAGCCTATGTGCCATGGTTCATAAAGCAATCTCCTGCCCTTCATATCCTTACATATTCATATCTTTACTTATAAGCTAATGCCTGCCTCCTTTGTCCGGTTAGATATAGGTGAAGCTATAGGCAGGCAGTGTTATAGGAAAGACATCTTTATGAAGCATTCTGTGTGACAGCACTGCAGTGTAAAA